ATAATAATAATAATAATAATAATAATAATAATAATAATAATAATAATAATAATACACCTTCTTACCCAGAGACATACAAGGTCCTTAGCGATTGTTTCATCCGCAGACTGACCATCTCGTCTCATGATGTAAATACTCATATTAATGCTATAGAAAGAGCTAGCTGTAATAAACGAACACGGGGGAAAAATCGAGTCACTAAACCAAAACGTAGAAACGCTTAGTGCTAAAATGAGAAAACGCGAAAACCACGGGCGCGTGTAGTTGGACACCAGTGACTTTTTGAATTGTCACCATACTGGGAGGGGAGGTGTAGCAAGAAATGAAATGTCTGAAGTCTTACCTGCACCTCCGACGGTGGTTTGCCGCGGGGGAGAGGGATTCGTTTCCGACGCTGATTTAGGAAGAGAAGAAGGGCAGTTGTTAATTACGGTGGAAAATGAGCGAAGCCGATAACGCATTAATCAGACACCAGTTCCCTAATGACGGTTCGCGTGGCACGATCAGAGACACCGGGGGAGGGAGGGGTAAAGAAGAGGAGCACGAAACTGACATCCATGCAGCTTCCAGCACACTGGGGCAAGAGTCTGTCCACGAACACAACAGCGGGACACAGCGACTGGGGCTCTGAGCCACGGGCCTCACCGCACGGGAGACTGAGATCTGGGACAGGGGAGCAGCTGTGATTGTGCCAGTACTCGGATGTCCAGCGAATCACGTTGCCCTCGGCGCAGATCTGGCTGGAGACCTGCTGGGCGCTCCGCTGTTTGTCCCACATGCGGAAAAAGTAGATTTCCCCGATGAGGTTGTTGCCGTCCTCCGTGACGATCTCGCCGCCGATGAGGCCGTGGGCCACCCCCAGGGTCAGGGTGCCGTGGGGTGCCAGGGGGCGGCGGTCGGGCACGGCGGCGCTGAACACGCCGCTCCCGTTGACGTACAGCCACACCTTCTGCTCGACGCCGGACCAGGCGAGGCAAACCGAGTGCCAAGCGAACGGGCGCAGGTCGACCGGCGCGTCCAGGGCCCGGCCGAACAGCCACAGCCTCAGCGCCTGCCCGTGCCCGGCCAGCCCCAGCTCCGGGGCGCCCTCCGAGAGGCGCTGGGGTGGGCGATTGTACGTGAAGGCGGTCCACTGCCTAGTGTTGATTTTGCGACACAAGTCCACGCAGACCGTGAACTCGTCTAAGGCCGGCAAAGAAACGCTCCCTCTCAGCTCCCAGTAGCTGCATTGCCGGCCGAAAAGGACCACCTTCTGCCCTCGGAGACTGGGCGCACCTTACAGTCACAAACGGTCAGAAGAAGGTGGTTAAACTTTCTCATACCGCAGTTATATATATATATTTAAATCAGACACCCTCCGATGAACTGGTTTTACCATCTTTAATTTGCGTTAAGGAATGAACACTTAATTCTTGAAATCATCTCCAGGATAAAATCACATTGGTCGAAACTTCCTTACCTGAGCGAAGGATGAAGACGGTGCTCAGTACCCAGCAACATAACAGGACTTTACAGGACGACGGCTGCATTATAGACGTCCTCATCATCTCCATCTTCGGTCTCAAATAGGAAAAAAAAAAGCAGCGTTTATTTTTTCGGATAACATCTCGTTTCTTGTCATTGGAATTGGGACTATTTCAAGTGATTTATTTACAGATCCTCGTAAAGAGCATCGAGTTAAAACATTTTTAAGTTAAACTTTCTGTACCCTGCTTCATTAATATATAGAGTATAATGAACGTTCCCTTCCACCTGTCTGAGAAACTCTTCCGCTTCTTAGCATAGCTGTACTTCCTATAGGCGTGATGAAGACCCGTGTTGTTAAAACATCTCGGATGAAAACAAATGTTCCCAAACGCTCTTTCATTAAAAGCGCTGTCACCTGTGGAGCAAAGTTCCTCTTTAGAGTAACCTCTCTGCGTGAAGAATAATGCTCTATAAAAATTATACTGAAGTGATTCGGGCACAGAAGCGATTTTAATAATAAAAGATAAGTTCGTTAATCATTGCCTCGTAATTACTTTTGACAATCTGCGGCTAGATAATAACTCCAGAAGATAACATTGTCGTCGCAAAATGCTTCTATCCGTAAATAATACGTTTATGAGACAACCTTTAATCCAAGAAGTCACAGCTGGATTCCTGGTTTCTCGTTTCTCGTTTTTAACAATAGAAACTTCGCGGGTCATACAGATTCTCTGCGCATGGTTTCAGTGTGTGTGTTTTGTCTTTGTTATACAAAATAAACGGATCATCAGTTGTTGGTAATGACATCCGTTTATATACATATATTCGAAAACGAGTACTTGTCGTTTACTGTAAATCATTCAGGGTTTTGAGTATCTAGAAGGTGATTTTATTTTCTCAACACAGCCTTTGAATGTCGCCTTCAGAATAACATCTAGCGCATGCATTCGATCAAGAGGACTTGGAAAGTCCAGCTTCGGATGTCCTTTTTCGTTTGTCCGATCAATAAATTAATCAGAATTACTCTACATATGAACAAAGATTAGCCCGGTAAAATTAAATAATTAAACGTTCAATTAAATGTTTTAAAATATTGTTTTTTTAACAGCAGTTTCAAGCACCCTTAAAACGAAAATCCATTACGATTGATCGTGATTTTAATTTTCTTCAAGGATAACGGGACAAATACTTTTATAAATCTGAAAACCTTAGCACGAGTGAAACTTACCAGCCTGCATCTCGGATCGGGTGGGAAAACGTGTGAAACTATCCGATCGTGCTCTCCAAATACCGAGAAACAAGTGAAGTATTGGGTTCTCCACAATGCTGTATTAGATCGGAACCCTCGCCTCTTGCTCACCTGTGATCTCTAAGATGCGCTCTGCTCCTTCACACAGTTAGATCTGGCGTCACGGGTACACCTCGCCCCCGTCTTCTCGCAGCGCTGCGAGTTTATCAGGTTATCCAGTTGTGAAGGGGTCAGAATCAGTCCGTGCTGGAGAGCCTCTCTCTTGCTCTAAAAAACGAGCTCCTTAAATTAGTCGTTTCAACAGAAATGTCAAAGTCGGCATACGGCGTAGAACTAGGATTCCTGTATAGAAAGAACAAGCTATTTTCTCAAGTTGCGAAAGTGCAAAATACTAAGGCAGAGCCAAAGAAATATCGCTTGGCATTAACTGCAGTGAGTCCGTATAATTCAGTGTCGGGGAAATCACTTATTCAGCTAAATAACAGGAGTTCTTTCACACCCGTGTGTATATATAGACTCAATTCCAAATACATCATTTTCCTTACGTTTTTATTACAGGGAAGCAATCCAAACACATTTTGAAACGATTCGACTGTAGCTTCTCTGGTGAATGATAATGATAACCCTGACCTTTATCAGATTATAGTGCAGGCAGTGTGATTGTGTGATGTGACCACAATCCTTGGTTTCAGGTACTAGAAAAACAGGAGAAATTGTCCTTGGTCTTGAATCTGATGAATGACCTTCCCCAGTCACCATTCATCATGAGCCCATTAAACATCTGGGGTACATTGATGCCACTCTGACTTGAGAGGCACCTGTTGACTTTATTTGTAATAAAGTACTACAGAAAATGTCCTTTCTTCTCAGGTAATGGGTTTTTGGTGCCAGCTGTGAGACTGTCCATGTTGTTCAGTCCTGTGGTATGGGCTGTCTTGCAGTATGGTATAGCTGTCTGCTATAACAGTGTTTCTCTGCAGCAAAAGGCTAAGCTGTCTAGCCTCTTGAGACAGTGGGGCAGGCACTCGAGCAGAGCTTTCACCCTGCTTTCATTGAGAACGTGTGGAGACGAGCTGTTAGTATCTCCTCGTGATCCCTCTCACGCTCTGCAGGAAGAATATCAGCTCGTGCCCTTCAAACAGACGTTTTAGACTCCCTCCGTGCAGACTGAACCAAACGAGGAATTATTTGATCCCATATTCAATCGAACTGCTCAACCAACAGATGAGTGCTGGTTCATGGGCAAGTGCTCTCAGTGGGTGATGTGTGCTTATATGGACTCAGTGTGACTGCGGGGGAGTAGATTTACAGGGTTCTGGCGCAGTGGTGGGGATTGCTGTAAGGGTGTTGTGACGCGATTGGGAATGGGTATATGTCTGTTATGTAATGGTTATTAGTAATCTTACATTTACTTGTACTGATTGCAGGTTTTTTAAGTTTCCGTTTGTGTAAAACATGGCTGCTTTGTGAAATTTCAGAGCAGTCGGACAATAAAGGATGATTGTATCGTATTGTGTCGTACAGTATATGCCTGGGACTCATGACATAGAGTAATATATTTATCTAGTAGTTCTATTTTCTGTCTTTCCAGCAATGCCCAATCTGAGCTGTCCAGATCTGAAATGAAGAAGCTGTTGTATGCATTTATGTAACCACCAGTCAAAATGATTGATCCACGGTTAACAGTGCTGATGAAAAGAAGCAGCCTCTGTCCCATTTTATCTGTCTCTCCTATTGATTACAAGTCAGAATGAGCTTAAACTGGTTCATGCAGCTAAGCAACAGGCCAGGTAACTATCTGAACTTTGGACAGTGTATTAATACCTGTTAAAGCAGTATTTAAAGCATATTTCTGAACAAGCATAAGGGCATACTGATATATGATATATATATTTTTATCATATGTTTTCAGTTTGTTTTATGAGAACCAGAAAATACTACAGGCTGCAAAGAAATACACAACATTTTATAAAAGTAATTTCTTATTATACAATGATAACATTATCTCTCTGTACTTGCACACTACTAGGCCAAAGTCAGGTAACTTAGACATAATCAGGAGTTGCAGTATAGGGAAGTTTGCATTTTCAGTTTCCTCAAAACCCTATGAGTGTTTCCTACTCTTAAAAGAACTTTGTTATTAATACTGCTTAGTTTTTGCTGAGAGGAAGCCAAGCTTGTCTTTTAGCAAATCTTAATTTACATTGATCAGAATCTTCAATGAGCGGCCAAAACGAAGGGCTGTGGTACAGTAGCAGCCAATCCATCGTGTTCATCAGGTGTGACCAGCTCGTTGCCAGGTGTTCCTCATCGTTAATCTCATTTGCTCCTCGCTGCACATCCATAAAGCTAAAAGTCAACCTTTTTTTGTGCTACGACATGTCGGTCACGATGAACTGAAACAAAATGGCTACAATTGCAGTCAAGATCACCATAAAACTGCATTTCTGTGGAAAGAAGGAACTACAGAGTGTAAAGATCAGAACAGAGCAACATGTCTCGTATAGCTGTGTAAGTATTTTACAAGCCACTAGGACCTGTGTCATGGATCTGATAAAAGTGAAAAACAAGTGGTGTGACCTGCACTTGGAAAAGTGTGACAAATAATTTACTGCAGATCAGTGTTCACCGTGATTAAAACATTTAGCAGGAGAACCTTGTTGTCTACAGAAAAATAAACAAAACCGGGATGAAAGAAAAATCTGTGATCTGCAGGGTCTGTCTGGCAGAGGAATCCGCCATCCAGAATTTCCACGTGTATTTGCAGAAAAAGACAGAGAAGCTGGGAACTGAAGGAGACGGAGGGAGAGCTTGTGTTGTCTCAGGATGTTATAACAGATGTCAGGCACACAGTGGAGGGATTTAAATGTTCTCACTGAGTCACACGTTGGAGCCTCGATGGTCCACATTAGGGCTTTATTGACAACCTGCTTTAAACAAAACAAACTTAATTAAAGGTCGCTTCCACTATGCAGCCCAGCAGGGATCTGGGAGCGCAGCCTGAGAAGAAGCAGATCTCTAATGATTCGGTGTCACACACATCGGCAACACCAGGGTCTTCACAGTTATGATCTGTCTCTCCTGCTTGGAATATTTTATTGTGTGGCCCAGGCAGAAGCCATAAATCAGGGACGTGTACTGTACCTGCTGAGAATGACGCTTTCAAATAAAACCAGAAAAACCCAGAGCTAGACACATTCTCGGCACTGACGGTGAAATGCACATAAATATAGTTGGGGAAAACCATTATAATCTGCTGAGAGATGTAGGGGTTGTAAGAGGAAGAAAGCCATGTCAAACTGGGTTTCCTTCATGTTGTGTCGACTTTAGCGTGCATGTCTTGTAGAGAAGTGGATGCGCACAAATTCTCGATTCATTGCTTCCAGCTACCCTAATGAGAAGCAGAGAAGATATGTATTGAGGATTGAATGTACTGGAGTTAATTTGGCTTCACTTGGCTGGCCGGGTGCCTGTTACGACGAGGCTGACAGGACTCCCCTTCTCTTCATGGGGAATGAGCCAGGGAGCTGCTACAAGGGTGAAGATGGGATGGAGGGAGGAATGAGAGAAAGAAGCACCGAGGGGAGGGGATGGGGGCTCAGCCAGTCAGATATTTATGCACAGGATAGCTGGTATCGGCGAGATTAGAAATTCGGCCTCTTCCCGAACATCTGTTAATTAAAACACCTGTTTTCCACACCTGGGAAGAAGAGGTATCTAAACTCCTTGCCCTTCACCCTCAGTCTGATGGCCCAATAGGACAGGTGACACTATAATGTGCCACTAGACTTTCAGTGAGAAGTGTAGATGTGGGCTGCAGCTGAACTGAAGGCCAGAGAGGAATTCTGGGTAGAGCGGTTGTTTTTAAGTTTGCATGGAACCAGAGACAGCAGTCCAGGCCACCAGGTGGCAAAATCTATTTGGATACGTAACTTCTCGGGGTCCTTAATGAATGGACAGACCAGTCATCTTAAGTTTGGCGATCAACATGGACCTCTTCACATAGAGGTAACAGGGACTCTCATAACAAAACGACAGAAAGGTAGCAAAGATATTTGCAATTCACAAGTACAAAAATAGTACAGTATGTTTCTCTTGTGCCATTGGAGCAGTTCATTCCTCGATTGAATCAAAAGGAGAGGTCCTGTATTTAATATACATGCTGATGGTAGACATGCTGACGTCTCCCTCTTTTATGCCGTATAATGTCGCAGGCCATAAAGAAATAAAAACAAACCCCTGTGGATATATGACTGGTCTCCAGCAGGGCTCAAGGTCATGTGTGCGTGTGTTTCACCACTGCGTTGTCACAATTGCCTCACACCTGAAGAAGGCTCAACAGACAAAACCTGGTGTTTCTTCTTACCAAGCTCTTTGTGGTTTGTGAATCTCGTTCTTGTGTTTCTCTTAGCTGCTCGTCAACAGTCCTATAATAACAGTGCTTCTGCCTTTACTGCTGAATCCTTCTGAAGTAATAATACATAAAAACACACTCCTCTTCCTCTCTTCGAAGAAATAAAGCCTGAATGAATTACCAGCTTTACCAGGAATTACCAGGACACACATTTGTTGCAGGAGAAGCAGAGTCAAGTTTGCATCTCTTAAACAGTAATTTAATTGCTCTTTGTTTCAGAGAAGTATTATGCCATCAGCCATGTGCCAGGAATAATTTTTGAAAAGGAGAGAGTTTTGTGCTAATGTAAAAGCAATTTCTTGGGCACACTTAAGTAAATAACTGTCTTTCCTTTGCAAAATCTGACTGAGTAATTCTAACTTCAAAATGATTGATTGAATAAATATTGACTCCGTTTTCCCCTGTGGTCAATATACGTTTCCCAGATAGAGTGTTTCTCTCTCTTCTTTTTTTTTCCACTGCTGGGTCATCAGAGCTGATAAACACTGGAGAGAAGATTTGCTTTGTGGATAATACGCCTATAAATCTCTCACACTGCACACCATATCTTTTCACATCTGCTTCATTTCCTTTCTGCTGAGGCTCACCTTCACACTCCAAATCTTTGCTTCTCACACACACACCAACGGGAGCAACTGGCTTCGCTCCAGCCATGCATCTGAACTGCTCAAACAGAACCACAGGCCCTGGGAAAACAAGCAGCCTGATGAGATTATCATTGGCGCAGAGGAGCAAAATATAGGAAAACATGCCAAACAATGGCAGCATGCAG